TTTAAACATCAAGTTTCAAGTTTTGGAGCAGATTTTCAATTTGATTAAGGTCTGGACTTTGAGAAGCCCTTACTGGTTGAATATTTGCTATGATTGCTCTGTTGGTCTTCTGCTACGATCTTTTTGTCTCATTCTCCAACAAAACGTCTCCTAGGACTGCCATGCATTTAGAACCATGCAATATTCATCAATTCCGACTAACTGTCCTGCATGTACTGAAGAAAAAGCACCCCTGCAGCATAATACAGCCAACATATAAAACATGGGTATGGGATGATGTTGATGTTAAATACAATTTGCCTGTTGTAAAAAAAGATTTTTGTATGCATGCAAAAATGATCCATTTTGATCTCATCTTAGCAGAGCACCTCATTTTATGGGCTTATATTCTATCACCTGCATGACTTTTCTTAAATTTTTTACCAGTGATTCATCGAGGCCAGACATGTGCAGTGAACAACTAATAGTTGTCCTGTGAACAGAATTGTTAATCTGAGGTATGAATTTTTCCAGCTCCTCTCTGGAATTTGTTATAGGGTATTGTTAAAGATTAATCAAATGAAGAGGCCAAATGAGCATCTCTGCTGCTCCTCTGATAACAATTTTCTTCATAGAGTCTGTAACTATAAATGGTCATGTCTTTATAAGTTTGCTTTTGTAATCTATTCAGTCTTTTTTCAGATAATGGCTCTCTGTAAGATATTAAAAGCTTTGATAACTGAATCCTGCTAAAACCCGCCACATATCTCTAACCTATCTGTTGTGTTGCTTAGTTTTACATTTTTTGACTAATATTCTCTAACAAACCTTTTTAGGCCTTAGCAGGACAGCTAGATGCACACTGAGTTTAAATTACACACAAGTTAACCTGATTTACCAAGTCGAAGAAATCTAAATGTGTTTGGTTTATCGGATTTATCGAGAGGTAGCAGAGTATAGCGGACTGAATACAATACATCTCTTTAAAGAGAACAGATAGTTGAAATGTTATTTTACTATTATGGACTGCACTGTGCTGTCTACTACTATATATAAGAGGTTTGTTTTATATAATTGATATTAAAATGGGCATAAAACTGAACTAAAATGTATTTTTAAAGTAACTCCAAGCACTTAAATTAACAAATCCTGAGTGAAAAATGCGTTTTGTTTTTTTATTGGTAAATTGTTAAATGGTAAATGGCCTGTACTTCTATAGCGCTTTTTCAAGTCAGAAGAATTGACCAAAATGATTTACACTCCATACAGTCATTTACACACACGCTAACTGTCATGGTTTTGGTTCTCTCTGAGCTTTCATTGGTCTTATTTCCATTCTTGTGTTCTAGTTATTTTTTATTGTATTTTAGTTCTTATATATTTCTTGTTTGCCCTCTTGGGTCAGTCTCCTTTTCCCTAGCTCCCTTCTTGCTTCTGTCCACACCTGCTCCCAATCTGCTAATGAGCCTGGCCTTTGTTTCGCTCTCCTATTTATTCTCCCCCTGTTCAGTCACTCTTTGTTGGTTTGTCGTCATTTCTTTGCCCCCTTTTTGTAAGTATTCCTGGTTCTCAGTTTTTGTGGATTTATGTTTTGGATTTTTGCTTCTTTTTGGTTAATTAGATATTCAAGAAAGCACTTCAGCTTCAGTCTGCATTAGGTCCTCCTGTCAAACCTCCACCCCCACCTTGACACATATGGTTGCAAGTTATATTGTAGCCGCAGAGGTGCCCTGGGGCTCAATGACTGAGGTGAAGCTGCCATACACTGGTGCCACCAGTCTCTCAGACCATCAGTAGACAAGGTAAAGTGCAATGGCATAATGACACAACAATAGGCCCGTAGGCAACATTATATGGGTGGGCCCCATATGAAGTACAACACCCCAGCCCCCCGACCTATACCACCCCCCATCCCCGCCGCCGCTGCTTTAGACAAACGACCCGAAATGTGCCCCATACATACAAACTTCATCATTTCATCATTCTTCACCTTCACTAGACATGGATATACTTTAGTATATTCTGCTGTATAATCAGTCTCATCGGGCTACCTTAAGATTCACAGTCCCCCTCCTCCCCACCACTCTCTCCATTCATCTCCTGTTCCATCGTCGCTAAAACATTGTACGTAACGGTTTTAATCTACGCCCTGGATTACCCATAATTCCAAGTCGTATTGTACAAAATAAATTACTCAAATGCATTGTTATTTTATGATCTTTATTGCGGTTTGAAACATATTATATGAGTGTATTCTTTGCCAAACAACTAATGAACTATACACAGTTATTAACATAATACTTAAAAGTACCACTGTCTGCTTTGCTATCGATGTCGTGTTAAGAGCCGGGACTTGAACCGACAACCCTCCAGTTGCAACTCCTACACTGAAAAAAAAAATAGTGCAACCACTTTTGACATTTACTTAATCATATTTAGTTACTTTGACACAATTGTTGTATGTCCTACCCTGCTAACATGAAACAATTGTGTTAAAGTTATTAAATGTAATTAAGTAAATGCCAAAAACGGTTGCATTACTTTTTCAGTGATTGGATTGTACTACAACGTTTCACCAACTTTATAGAGGTGTTCAGTGGTAAGGTACCTAAAAACAGAATCAAGATTCAATGAAGATGGGGAGAAAGATAAAGATTAGAATAAGGAAGGGAAAAAAGAGGTCTAAACACTGCATCATATACTGCCTCTGATGTCATTTCCTAAACACCATAATTGGACATCAATGCTTCATCCAGCTGTGAAGAATGGCTAAATGAAAACACATTCAAAACACACACCCCCAGAGAGAGAGAGAGGTTGGTACTTTACTGATCCACTTAAACCTTAATTGCTCGGACCTCGCGGTCTCTCCTCCTCCTCCCTTCCTTCAAGTCACTCACAGACACACCTGAGATGAGCTCCCTCTGACAATCAGCCGCTGGTTGGTCCCAACGTAGCCCCTCCTTCATCGGACAGGACCAACACATTAAACGGGTTAAATCTGTCACCGGGAGCAGCGGGAGATTCCTTCTCTTTAATCGGCGGCTTGGACGATCTCATCTCCGAGCTTTTCTCCTCTCTATCAGCAGCAGACTGAATTTGAATCCATCAGTAGAGGAGGGAAGATCATCATCAGCAGCAGAAGACGCAGGAGAAGCAGCGCATCTCAGACACAGACCCGTGGGCGGCTGCGGGTGCGTCCGTCTGGGCAACAAACTGCTGCAAATGTCGGTGCTAAAAAGATTATAGATTCAATTTATTATTTTATGTTGAATTGGGGGGGAAAAATCCAAACAACGTTTTAACCTTAACCAGTTGATATTTTCCAAACAAGTATCTGAAAAGTAAATAGGGGGGCACATGACACACCGGTGGATTCACGGAGCCAGGTCCAACACCCAGACTGAATGAGTCCATCTTGGACTGTTGGACGGACTCCTTCAGAGGACAGGACGGATGCAAACGGACTAAACACAATCCGGCAACTGAAAGCAGCTCCAGCCGCTCAACAACCGGTGCGCTAACGGAACGGGAGGGGACTGTGACTCCGGGGGGAGCAGCTCCTTCTGCAGGTATGGTCCCGTCTGAGTGAGGGCGTTAAAGGTGATGAAGGTGATCACCCCGCAGGTCGCTCCTCCTCACGCCTGCAGACACGGTGATCGTGGCTGCACCTGTTGTATTGCGCGTGGATGCGTGACGCGCGCGCGCTTCTTATCTCATGGCACATCAATACCTCCCTGCTTGTCTTAATGGCAGGCAGACACGATTTCTGTTCATCCTACTGTTTCAAGGTGTTTCTGACCATTTAGCAAAGGATCCAGGTGTGCGCGGCTCGCGTCACTACGCGCTGCGTGGGTTTGATCGATGTGATTAGGTGATTATAGGTCCATCACGCACCATAAGTGTAATTATAGTGTAATTGTCTCAGGACGCAGCGGGGTGTGAAGCACTCCATCATATATACTGTAATGCTTGGTGGCTTCATCAGCGGCTCTGATGTTCTGCTTGTTGCAGCTCGTCTCTGATAAATGGAGACTGACTGCAGTCCAAACCCCAACAGCATTCACTGACAGAGCCAGATGCTCCTAACTCCACAGTCAGTCACTTCATGGTCAGATCTGCCACCTGCTTTGCACAGACTCATCATCTGATGCCAAGCTGGGGACGCTCCTGAGGGTAACTGGTGGATATATGTCCTCTAGGAAACCGAGTTTGCAAGTGCAAGCCAATTTTTTTTCTTCTTTAAGCGTGGGTGGGTGAGTAGGAGAGAGGGAGGGGTTGTTATTTTGCACATATATTTTTGACATGTAGCAGCAGATTGAAGTTTCTGAGACACCAGCTGTGTTTCCTTTATCTGTGCATGCATCAGACCATGATGTCCAGTCTTTTTCTCCCTGTCAGTGAAATCTGTCCTTGTCATTTCAGACCGGTAGAAAAGTAGATCACTTTTATCAGGGTTTATTTCTTTTATCTGATCATTAATACCATACAGTGCATTGTGGTAATCCACAGGGTTTGATTTTAGGACCAATACCTTTCAGCCATAATCTTGGGACGACTAACACAAGCTGTCAAGCATTTTAAGGACATTTAAATCTGTTTTTTTTTTTTTTATCTGCAGCAGAATATTGAAGCTACAAGATGGAAGATAGTAGTTGCATTTCCCTTTTCTTTGCAGATGCATCAGCCCATGATGCTTATATTCTCTCCATCATCAGGTTATTGCCTTTTCAGACACAAGAACAGTGACTCACCCTAATCTGGAATTAATCAACTGGTTTGATTGTTTTTGTTTTAATTAGCATAAATTAAAAACCTATCAAGTGAACTTGGGGTCCAGAAGGGGTGGATTTTCTAAGGCATCATCAGGAGAAATTACATATATTTCAAAAGCCGATGACGAATCACTTAATGATCCCAATTAATTTAATTTGCCCTGATCAGGCATAACATTATGACCAGCTGCCAAAGGCTATAGCTACTTATACATGCCTAAAATTTCCCCCGATCTGCTTTAAATCTTAGTTGATGGGAAATGCTAAATCTCTGTTTATGCGGAAACTTATAAATTGATCCAGATCATGACATGGATACATGTATGAAGCGTTCCATCACATCCATCAACACTTTAGTAGTAGAAGAAGAAGCTCCTTTTTTATAAACAAACCCGTGCTTGTCTGCTCATCCTCAACTTCAGCTACTCTTTTTGCCTGACCAACACTTTATTTTTGTGCCTGTGTCATATATTTGTATCCTTACTTTCTTTTTGGTGGTTATTTTATTAAAGTTAAGGCTCAGCAGTAACTTAAGCTAATGATCATTTGCTACAGAGGTAGAGGGGATGAAGTCATGCTTATCTAGATATTACATTTAGTTCCACCTACTTTAACCAGGACCAGTAGCCAGTGGATGAAGGTTACTGTACGAGTAAAGAGACAAATGTCACGCTGACGTTGCATACATGCAGTGGAGATTATTTTACTCCAAAGATCCCGAATGGTGGAATCGGAATGGCAACTCGGATTTAAAACTTTGTTCTGACATGTTTATATGAAACATTTTTGATCTGATCAGGCCTTCAATCCAATTATTTGTGTCCATTTACTTTAAACGTAGCAACAACCTGGTCTCCCTTATGCTCCTAAAAAGGCTCTAACCAATCAAAAGAATTAAGTCATTAAGAGGTAATGCTTCGATTTACAATTTAGATATTTAACTGTTGTTAAACTTTTAGATGATTTACAACTTTTATTTTAGCTTTAAACATAATTTTTTGTAATAAATTGAATGCTTTATTGACATTTCCATATCTGTAATAATGAACTCCTGCAGCAACGGATGTTAGGCATTAAGTGACCCAGGCTGACCTTCTAGAGAGCTGGCTGTAGGCAGCATACTTAGCGCCTCTCTTGAGGAAATGTTTTTAGAGTCCAGGTTTGATGGGTTAGAGTAAGACAGCTGAGATCACAGCTGTGGCATGACTGCCTGTATATGCCCAAGGTGACATCAGTGTGGGACACTGACAATGTGTTGATGTGCAGAAGAGGGAAAGAAAGGACATAGGGAACAATTTGATTTCCTTTTTTTTTATTTTATTACTGTTTGCATTCTACAAATCCAGTAAATCACAGTTATATTCTATGTGGCTTGTTAATGTTGCACATGTGCCTCATACATTTACCCTCCCTCTGTCTTTTGCTTTGTTGTCTGTGGTAAATGATGAATTACAGAGATTTACCTGTGTCTACCTTTGGTGCTTCAACTGATCAGCTGATGTTTCATTGCTTTCATCCGTTAGCAGCAGCCTGTATTGAAAAAGACATGCAGAGCAACCCTCTGTTTTTGTGGCTCGGAATGAAAGACGTGTCTATTTCAATTTATGTGTTACTAAAAGCGTTCTGCTGATCTCAAGTATCAAATATAACTCTAGAGAAGAACCACTGCCTTTAAAAAGTATTAATACCGGTTCCAAACACACACTTCAATTAGTATAATTGGTCAATTATATGACAGAACAGCAGAGGATAGTGGATAATAGGGAAGCAGCAGCTGTGAAGAGTTGTTTTTTCAAAAACAGTATACAGATAAAAACCTAAATTTGGCCTAAATACAACAAAAAAATCTTTTGGATTTGGTTTATTTTTAGGGATTGATTTTTTTTCTGTACAAAAAAGCTCAGTCTGACCAGATGTAGGATGTCTCTAAAAAGCAATATTCAAACCAAATATTCTAAACTGGATCTGCATCTAGGATTGGATTTTGATTTATTTATTCTAATGCATGAACATTTTTAGATCTAAACTAGGGGTCTGCAACCTTTGGGTTCGGGGTCATGTGTAACCCTTCTGCTGAGCTTTGGACAGCTATTACCGGGTACATTAAAAAATAAAGTTTCAAATCATAAAATAATCTAGTTTGAACAGTTTTTTGTTTTGCTTTATGCAGCATGTAAGAAATCCTTCAAAGTATGATACTGGTGTTCATTTTAATGTAATTTGAAAAAAAAAAAATACCTGATGCACTTTGTTGAAAAATCCTAAAGCAATGTTTGCCCTTTTTCAAATTTTCTTCACTTTTTAATCAGAAAATAGAGACAATAGAAGTTATAATTCTTTAATTTTTCAATAAGTTCAATATTTTGATGTTTTTTGGCTGCCAAATATGAATATATTTTTTTTATATATATATTGATCAAGCATTTCTTGCTCACAATGGCTCACAAACACTAAAATCGCTCATTGGATTAAAAAGGTTGCTGAAACCCAGCATAAACCATTCCATTGTTTCTTCAAGGTCATTGTTCTACTGAAAGGTAAACCTCCATTCCATCCAAACTCTTTTGTTCTGTCATTACTGTAGCTCCTTTCATCTTCTTTTTAACTGAACAGTTTTCCTTCCTCTGCTAAAGACAAACGACCCAACTACATAATGCAGCCTTCTGTCAATCTGCATTTTGCTTATAATAATTTTGCAAATAAGCCAAAAAAATATTTTTTAATCTCAACTGGTCAAAGCACTTTCGTTTTTCATTGTTATCATTTTTTTTTTCTGCTGTAATCTCGCCACTCTTCAATGAGCCTTTTCACACCTTTATTCTTAAAAAATCTTCTTTTTTTCCACCGTGTCTCTGAATTTTCATGATGTTAGTCTTTTTCTTTTTTTCTAAGACAGTTTTTATGTCACTATGTTTTATATGAACATATCAGAATGAAAGAAAATGCATATAAGAATTGTAGAATTTAATCTTAAAAAAGAAAAAAGGAAATCCAATTGCTTTTTCTTTTACTTCAAAACTATGCACAGCTTTTTGTTTGTCTTATGTAAATTACAAATTAAATATATTTATGTTTGTTCTTAATGGGAGATGGTTTAAGGGTTATTAATACTTTCGGAAGGCACTGGCTATAATTTGCATGTTTGTCCAATTCTGCCTGAAAGTAGGTCCATGTTGTGGAAGTTTAATTCCTCTGTTATCCTATTAGTGCTGTCTACCTGTGATGTCCTTTGGATGTGCTGCTGAAAAAAAAAGCAGTTTTGACCCCTTTCTGCCATTCCAGTAATGCATTTGTTTCCCTATGGGAATAAAACGAGGAATGTGGAGGGAAAAAAGGCGGATTCTCCTTCTAATGCCTGTTCACAGTCAGTTTTCTTAATTTGAGCCTCTGCTTTGGGTGTAAATTTGTTCTCACAGCAGACTTCAAACTAGGTCCTCTGGTGTGCAAGTGACCCGTAGTTCAAATGTTGTCAGCCAGCCCACTTTTATTCGCTCTTTTTACCCTCTTCCTTCCTTCCATCCTATCCCACCTATCAGCCTGCATACCCGTCTGTCTTTACGCCACTCCTTTCACTGCACTCAGGCAATGGAGGCAATGGAGCTTATCAGATGGAGCCTTTCTGCTAAACACTGTGTCTGTCAGCTCTGATGTCCATCTCTTTGACAACATTCAGTGATTTCACAAGTTGGTAAAAAAAAATAAAAAACAGAATATGGAGAATAGGAGGGAGGATAAAAGAAAGTAAGAAACAAAGAAGAATGAATACACATGGGACTGATTTTTGTGATTTTTGTTTT